ATTGAAGAAACTGAAATAATCACTTCTCAACATGTTGAAAACATAAAGACGAGGTTAATCATAATTGATTCATTATTATTGAAATGAAATAGATGTATGAAGATAGTTTAATGCTTTATAACATTAATAATACAATTGTAAATTACATTAAAATAATAATTATTAACTAATTTCTCTTTCTAATAAATAAATTAATAACATAATTTAAAAAAATAATAGAAATAAATTATTTAATAAATTAATTATTTTATTATAATTCATATGAAATGAAGAATAATTTAATTAATTCATTAAATTAAAATTATTCGTTTAATATTTTGAATTTAGTTTTTAATCATTTTCAACAAAATTTCTTATTTTATTTCCAATTCATTTGTCTTTTTATTGAATAATTGTTATTATTTCTATTTATTCAATATGAGATTATTTCTTATTGAACAACAAATTTCTTCATTTTTCTTCATCTGATATTTTGTTATAACAAATAATTTACTATATTAAATTATTTGTTTTTTTTATTAAATATTACTTTCACTATTGTTGAAGTAAATTTATATGCAAGGAATTGAAAGGAAGTAGAAACAAAAATTAATAATTATAAAATAATATAAAATAAGAAATATCTATCCAATAAGATTTGTTTTAACATAACAAAAATTGAACCACTCAGATTTGAATGAAGATTCTATGAGACGAAATAAAAATACAAAAAGTAGTTTTTATTTTCACAAAAAAATAAGAAAAAGAACTACAAAAGAATGATTCACATCAGAGGATGACTGATGAACTTTCTCCATTATTCTTAATTAACAAAAATGAAAAGAAAAAGAAAACAGTAAACAAAGAAGATATTGACAATGGACAAAACCAAATTTCTAAAGCGATTTTTCAACAAAAACGAAAAGTATTATTTGGTCAAAAAATAGAAGAGGAAAAAGGAAAAGAAGAACAACGTACTAAATCTCAATCAAATAATTTTGCAAGAAAACTTTGTGATGATGAGTTTATTAGTCATGATTTAAAAGTGAGTACATTTAAACGATCTCAATCAACTCAATCAACACCTCAAAAAAGAGTCTATTCATCAAGAAGTCCTTGTTTAGTAGATTCAGTCTATTTTCAACACCAATCAGTTAATTTAAAGATGAAACAATTAAAACAAAAAGAACAAAGTAAACAAATTTATTTAAATAGAGATGCAAATATTGGTACGACTAGTATTAAACAACCAATTAAAAGAACACCAGTTGATATTCAATTAACCCAATTTGAAGATACTATAGAGTCTATTGGATTAGAAGATTTAGAATGGGAAGAGCAACATAGTTTAACAGAAGAAAGTTCTCCTATGAAAAGAAGAAGAAGTCCAATAGTTCCAATGTTTAAAAGTCAAATGAAAATAACAAAACTCCCTTTTACAAAATTTACACCTAAAACAATTGAATTCCAACCAATTGCACCAATGAGTTGGATTCTTGAAGGAAAAGAACCAACAAGAGAAGAGATATCTTCAAATATTGAACTTTATTCAGATATGACTACTTTTATTTCAAACAAAGATTTATGGAGGAAAAACAATTTATTAGATCATCTTTCATATTATGCTGATTCAGAAAGAATATCTGTATTAGCATGTACATGGAATGTTAATCAGTGTGTTTTTAGTCGAGGAGAAATTGATAGACTAACAAGTGGAATTAAAAACAAACCAGATATTATTGTGATTGGGTTAGAAGAATTAGAAATGAGTTTTGATGCCATCATTACAGGAAAAAAATTTAGTGATAAATCAATTCAATGGGAAGCTTTATTACAAGAATCAATTAATAGAGGACAAAATACTTATATTGAATTAGGATATTATCAACTTTGTGGAGTTGTGTTATATGTATTTTTTGATGAAAGATTAAAAAGTCATATTACAGATGTTGGATATGGTGATATGAGAGTTGGTGCTATGAGTGGAAAATTAGCAAATAAAGGAGGTGTTGCTTATAGAATGAGAATATATGACTCAACAATATGTTTTGTTGTAAGTCATCTTGCAGCTCATCAAAATTTTTGTGACAAAAGAAACGAAGATTGGAACGAGATAAGCAAAATGAAAATAAGATATTTTGACGTTGGTAGTGGTTGTAGAAAAGTAGTTGAACTTTTACAACATGATGTTGTTATTTGGATGGGAGACTTAAATTATCGTATTGATATGGATGATGTTGAAGTTAGAAAATGTATGAAAATGAAAAATTATCTTGAACTTATAAAACATGATCAATTATTATATTGTATGCAATCAAATAAAGTTTTTAATCATTTTTGTGAAGCAGCAATCAAATTTGCACCAACATTCAAGATTAAAATTGGTAAACAAGGAATGTATGAAGAGAATAGAATTCCATCTTGGTGTGACAGAGTATTATGGAAAACAGAAAATAGACATAATGTTGAAGTAAAAGAATATATGAGTCATGAATTATATTGTTCTGACCATAAACCAGTAACGTGTTTTATGAGTATAGATTTACAAAGAACTAACATTAAATTACAACAAACAGTAATAAATTATTTAGACAAAGTAGAAAAAATATACAGTAAAGTAGTTTGTCCAAAGATTATAATTGAACCTTCTATTATTACTATAGATCAAATTAAAATATTTGAAAAATATCAATTTAAAGTACAATTAAAAAACATTGGAAAGTTTGGAACATGTTATGAAATAGAAAATAGTGATGGAAGAATTTTTAAAGATGAATGGCTTTCAATTAAGAAATGTGAAGGATTTATAGATATTTTAGAAGGAAAGGATGTTGTTAGTATTGATTGTGAAATATGTATTGATGAAAAATATGTTTGGATGTATCAAGAACAAAATTCATTAATGAAAGTTATTAAAATAAAATTAGGTGAAGGAAATGAATTTATTACTTTTAGTATTGTTTTGAAAACTACACCGAATATCATTGGAATGAATTTAGAATCATTAAATAGACTTAATAAACCATTAATTTCTAATGATAAAATTCAAAAGAAATATCAACCAATTCCATTTTTTATTCCAAAAGAAATATATCGATTGATTGATTATATTATTCAACATTATGAACCTAATTGTTTTGTTAAAAAAGATCCTTGTAATTATCTTAAAGAACAACTTATTGAAGTTATTCAATGTTTAAATAAAGAAAAAGAATTTATTTCTGGACCTATTCAATTATATTGTGATGCTTTATTATTAGTATTATCAGGCCTTCATAAATGTGTTATTTTTTATTCTTTTACTGACTCAGACTTAGTTTTAAATGACCAAACTCTGTTACAAGTAGTTAATTTCATTATCCCAGACGAATATAACCATCTATTTGTATATTTAATCTCTTTCTTAAAAAAATTGATTTGTCTTGGTGAAAATGAACTTCTTTTAATTTCTAGATTTACTCCTCCTATATTTCGGTGTTTTGATCCAAATAAGTTACTTCCCTTTACTCACTTTCTTGAATATGTTCTTCATTCTCCTCTTTCTTTATTTTATCAATGACTAATGTATTATTATTTATTACAAACTTTTCTTTTTTTTTTCTTTTATTCATCTTGAAATTATTTGATTTTATGACAACTACTAAACCTCATGTTCAATTACGGTTAGTTCGTCCTGAAGCTCTTAATCCTTCTCAACACTTATTTGCAGGAACAGCATCTTCATGGTTTGTTGAAGAGTGTTATTTATGTGCAGTTTTTAATTTTCCACATTGTCACTTTGTTTGTCGAACAGTCAAAAATTTAGAAATGGTTGCTCCTGTTAATGTTGGTGATGTATTATGTTATTCTGGTACTTGTGAAATTGGAAAGACTTCTATAGTTGTTGATATGGTTGTTTCTCGTCAGAATGACAACAAAGTTGTAACCAAAGGACAAGTTGTCTTTGTCAATATCAATTCTGAAGGAAAAGCAACTCCACACAATATTGTTTTGCAATAATCAAATTGTCATTTTATTTTTTGACTTCTTTAATGTTTAAAATAAGGTAAAAAGATAGTAAAATAAATTATTTGTTTACGATTTAACCATAAAAACTAGAAAGATCTATGAAAGGAAAAAAGAAAAAATTACTTTTTTGAATATTTTTAGAAAAGAAAAAATTAATAAGAAACTTCAAAAATTTTTTTTTAAGTCTCAATGAGCGAAACAAGTGAAGACCATTCAACATTTTATGATTTTCCATTACAAAAAATAGTTATATCTATTGAATACCTTGTAATTGCAGTGTTATGTTTTATTCAAAGTCTGAGAATTGTTAAAAATCAGTTTGTCATTATTATTTTTTTTGTTATTTTTAAATAAAAAACGAAAGAGAAAAAAAGTATCTTATCAAATAGTCATAAATGTTGTGGATTTCAAAATCTTCTTATCATATTTTTAATCTGTTGGTGTTTATTTAGAATATCCGATTTGATGATAAGATTCTTTCTGATATTATTTACTCACCAACCAGATGATTTTATTGACCAAACAACTTCTGTTGAATGGTTAATTTCTGAGTTTGTTATATTTCTTTTTCAAATAAAACATAACATCTTATTTGTAAATAATTATTTATTGAATTAGCATTCCTAGTTTTGTAATGGTTGGTCTTCTTTCATTCTTCATTTATTATTATTTATTCCTTATTCATAGTTCTCATTGGCAATATGCCAAATTAATTTCAATTATTATCATTATAACAATCAATCTCTTTCATATCCTTTCATTAATATCAATAGATATTTCATTAATGATAAAGCCAACTACAGCAGCAATTCATTTAACTTTTTGTTGTAGTTCATTTGTATATTTATTAGTTGTAGGAGGGTTATTGTATGTATCTGTTCGGATTTTTTTCATTAATCCACATGTTTTAGAACAATCTCACCCAAAGCCATCAGCAATGGGAGTTTGTGGTTTAGTTATTTGTTTAGCAATCTCAACCCGTTTAATATATGACTTTTCAAGTGCTATTGTAGGTCAATCCATTCTGTCACTCCTTTGTTCAAACGAAAGTTCATTTTGTTCTGAACATTTTGGAATAGTTGTTTTCTTTTCTCAAATTATTGAGGTTGTTTTAATGTCATTATGGGAAATTGTTCCATTAACAACGTTAGTGATTTTATTCTGGAATATCCCTTCGAATAAGTCATATGACCCATTCCCTCACTTCCAATATCTTGTTGAAGAAACAGATGATTCATCATACGTTACATATGACGCAACTACTCCTTTGATTTAAAAACATCAATAAGTGTATTGTTTTTTTTGTTTATTTTGAATATTTTGAATATTAAAATTGAATGATATTTTGTTTTACTGAATATTTTTAGTGAAATAATACTCAATACAACAAAACTTATATAACATTTGTTTTTTTTTCACTATCTTTCTTGGTATTACAATAAATTTATATCGTGATTTTCTAACTCTTTAAATATTATAAAAGAAGAAACAAGAAAAATTATAAGATTATAAAGATTCTAAATAAATACTTAAAAGATTAAATATTGTCTAAAAACAATGTTTAATTATAAAATCTATTTGTTAAAATTTAGTTAAAATATATTGTAATAGAATGAGAAATGTTATCATTGGACAAATCAACTCATTAACATAGAGATAAGTTATTTTTAAATAAAAAAACAAATTTTATTATTCATTTATAAAATCAATAGGCGTTATTTTTATATTTATAATACTCATTCTCCTTTTCTCAGAATAAAATAAAATATAACTAATTCAATTCACATATTATAATCCTTTAAATAATTTAACTTAAATTAAAATATTCATAATTCATTGAATTAGGTGAATATTTTTGGGTTTTGAGAATCAATAGACAAATACTATTTTTATAGTTTGAAAACTATTAACTTTAATTAAAACTTCATATGTATTTATAGAATTATTCTATTTGTACAATTGATTAGAATGATCTATTTCGTTTTAATAAATAACAACTTCAAAATAAAAAAATTATAATAAAAATATATTATTAAAAAACTACTTTTTATATTAAAAGAAAAATCAAAAGTTTTGATTTTGGTTTCAAATTATTATCAATTTCATTATTCACATCACTCTTAATTTAAACGACTCGTTATGTAAAAGTCATATTATTATATTATTTGCTATTTCATTTACGTGTATAATATATATCAAATAAACACTCTCCTTCCAAAAATTAGTCAATTACCTCAACACTCTTTTGGGAATAGTTGTGTTAGAAGAACTTCTTAACTTAAACAAGTTATTAACACACAGAAAAATCATTATTTTATTGCGTAAAATATATTGGAAAAGTTTCAAGACTTGTTATTTATTGGCATTTGATGAAATAGTTCCATTCTATAGAAAATATTGCTTTCCTTCCAGAGTTGAGAAGTGAAAAAGAAGAATAACATAGAATTGAACATT